CTTTATATTGTTTGTAAGCTCGTGAAACTTTTGTTTATAAATCATTGTTTGTAATAACTATTTGTGATAACTGTTATTGTAAATTTTACTGTTGTGTGTATATTAAAATGTAATTATGTTAAAAAAGAAAACTGTGTATCAATCTTGTTGGCAAATATTACAAATTGACTATATATCGGCATTTGTTCAAATACTAAATCCAAAGTACAATTTAACTACTAAATTTAAATTATCAGTTAACTTAATTTCTAATGCGTAACAAGTGTTGCCATATTACTTATAATCAATTATTGCAGTGTGCTATCTAACGTGGCATCTAACCTATATAAAAGCCAGTGTGTTCAAGTCACGCTTGATTTCTCGAAATAGGAGTTATAAAAGCCAAAATGCATTTCCAGATAGAATAATTCGATTACTGTCTGCATATTATGATTTTAGTGACGTGGGTGCAAGGGATCCGTGAGCGAGGTGCCGCGAAACCTTATAAGTATAGTGAGTGTTGGCATAATAATCCTAAAGTAAAGACATAGTGTGGGATCACCTAGTCTAGAGCCAACTGCATGAAATTTATCATGAAAGTAAAAATATCGATTCAATTTTAAGCTTAAATCGTTTATGAATTAAGCTATTTTCTGTAATATCACCAACGATTTAAAAAAAAATCTCTTTAATCAACGGAAACTCTAAATCAACAAATGTTTATCCAGTTTTGTTGTCTATACATTTCATTTTACACATTCAGTAAATAGACTAACAACAATATTAAGTTATACCTTTGTTGCTAAGCAACATGACATAAACGCCATTGTTGGAACGCATTGTTACCAAAATGCACTGGCTTTTCTATATATTAGAAGTTGTTAATCTAACTGATTTTTATTACTAATTAATTATTCTATGAATACGCCACAAATTCATTTCATAAATGATCGTAATTCTGATTGGCTAACAAAGGAATTTACCGACGTTTGACTGTCTCGACTGCACTTTTCTGCCTCTTTGTTGGTCAAGCTTCATTTCGCAAAATTTATTTATTTCATTTAGCTATGAAATGTGAGATTAGGGTATATTATGGGGGTGGGGATTGTAGTGCTTGCCCCGTCATTTCTAACGGGCTATACGGTAGTATTATTTTATATGACAACACATGCAACTTTCTATAACGTAGCAGAATGGAATAGATTCTAGGGTTCCATGCTCCATTGATTAGGTTGAATGTATTAGTGAAACAAAAACAATTACCAATTCATATTAAACGTTTTTGTAACATTCAAAATATTTGATAATATTAGGACTGAAAAACTGTGATAGAAGTTGCTTGGTACTGTAATAAGAAACGCCGATTAGTAAGTGAAACATTAGAAGGTAAAACATTTAAGTGATATGTGGTACGTAAAAATCTGTTCAACTTTAGTTTAGTGTAATCTTTCTTTTGCGTTTTAGCATCTGGAAATATATGCAATGATGTGTCGCTTTGAACATAACACCAAAAACGTTTACAACAAATAAAGTACTTAAGAGCCATATGCTACCAGCTGATAAGATATATCTTGCATAACACTAAGATGTTCAACTAATTCCGTTTGGATATTTAAAAAATGCCTTAACATTGTATTCTTTGAAATCCTATGTCGAATCTGATAATAAGAATGGGTTATACTTGGATAAGATTTGCATTAATGACAACTTTCCTAAAAAATATAAAGGAAACCTTTAAATACTCTAAAAGTGTTCCAAACATACACTGTATGCGTGCGATGCAGGTTTATACAGTTGCTAATTATTGCTTTCTACCTTACTCTAAAACATAAAGCCTTCTAAAAATTAAAGATCCAAAAGTTTATAATTCAGGCGTTGTTCATCATGTTCTTCATGAGAGATTTAATAAGAAAAGAAAAAAAAGGACATGAAGTATTATCTAACAGTGTCCTTTATACGCACGTTTTGTTTCCTTAAATGTTACTCTCGTTGAGTGAAACTAAAAACACTATTACTGTTCTAGTTGCGGTGTCCTTCCTATATCTGTGATATTTTCTTGTTTCTTTATGTTCATTAGAGATTTAATTAATCCCAGGTATCTGTCTTCGTGGATAAAGTTGTAATGTCATATACTTTTAGTTCTCTAACCGTCATCGTATTGATTAGCGAAAAACAGAAATATAACGGATTTTATCCTACATCGTTATACTCAACAGATCCGGTGGCGCAATGGTAGCGCGTCTGACTCCAGATCAGAAGGTTGCGTGTTCGAGTCACGTCCGGATCAACGATTAAAATTTTTTATTCAAAAATCGTCTATTCGTTAAGCCTCTCACCCATGAATAGTTTGAAATTATAGAATATAAAATTGCAGCACGTAACTTGCTATAAGATTGAGTTAACGTGAAAAACACCTGAAAACAGACTA